GGTTCCGGCGGCGCTCGGCGTGGGGGCAGCGCGGTGCTCGGCGGGGGGCCTTGGGGGGCGGCGCTTTTTTTTGCTGCTTGGGGCAGCAAAAAAGCTAGAGCCGGCCCTGATTGGAGTCCCTTATTTTATTTTGTGCTTGCACATCTTGTGCTGGCTGGAACCACACATGGGAATTGCTGTTCATGTGTGGATAAACATTTAAGATTCATCAGTTATTTGCTGTTCTGTGACCTGAGCTGGATTGCTCAACAAGAGCAAGAGGGCTATGTCTTATGGCAAGGATGCTGAAAGGGACACTTGCAGGAAAAATTAAGCTTACATGGAAAATCTGACTCTTCCATATCATGTATAAATGAAAGGAATCTTCTCAGTGGGTCTCCTAAGTGCCTGATCATGCACTGTGCTAAGCACACATCTCCTAGGGAAGCCAATGGGCACTAAGGGAATTCAGCACCTTGTAGGAGGCTCACTGCACCTTGTGGGTTTGGGCCCTGATTCTGCATTTGAAAATAAGCATTTACACATGCAAAATAAGTAACTGTACATAAGTGCTTGCACAAATTTAGGAGGCTCCTCTGGAAATGCAATCCCTGTTGTCAAATTGAATGATCAGTAAATGCTGTAGGAATGTCTGCAAAGAAGATCTTATATCCATCTATAGTGTTAAACTAGTACCCTAAATCTTTCGTGACCTTTGGGCAATGTATAAACCCGGCATTAGTTTTGTCAACTAGTATTCCTCTTCCTCTCCTAAGAAAGCACAGATGTACATTGCTGGAGCCCTCACATACCCTTAAACTGAGTTATGCAACTGAACAGTGTAACAACACCTCATTGCCACTGGTTGGCACCCGTGTGTCAATTTTTTCATGCAAAGGAAATTTTTCTTGATTTTATTTTTTATATATATGTAATTAGTGGGGGATGGGAGTATCTGTCAATAGTGTAGATACAGGAAGCCCCAAGCAGCTTTGACAATCTCTGTGAAGGACACAGAAACCAGGCAGGAGAAGCCAGAAGTACTGAAGTTGTCTCGCCTGGCTTTAGTAATAATAATGTGCAGTTATGTTGTGCTTTTCAGTTGTGTGATAGTGATGGAAATGTTAGGAGAGTTGAGATTAGGTGAGAAAATCTGATAAGAGTGAAAGGTCAGTATTAGGAAGAAACAGCCTGGGTGGGTTCTGAGGGGACAGGCCAACAGGAAATATAGCTGATGTTGGTTTGGGACAACATTTGGAAAGGGACAAAGAATCAGTTAGATTCAGGAAAGAGATCAGAGATGAGCTGTGGCATTGGCAAATAATCCAATCATACACAATCACACTATTCCATCACTGTCTCCTTTTGCTCTCATGTTTTATATCTCTTCTGAGAGAGGGATGGATACAGCACAGCACTCCTGGGTTTTCTTCCTGGCTCTGCCACTGCTTGGCTTGGTCTTGGGTATGTCATGTAACCTTTGTACCTCAGTTTCCCAGCTATAAAATATGAGAATATTCCCTCCATCCCAAGCATCTGATTATTTGTTTATGATAGTACAAGGCACTATACAAATTCAAAAAGAGGCACAGCCCTTGCCCCAAAAAGCTTACATCGAGAAGGCTGTGTAGTTATAAAGTCCTCTGGGATCATCTGTTGGAAGATGGCTTTATGGGTCTGATCCTGCTCTCATTGAAGTTAACGTTAAAAATCCCATTGATTTCCATGGTGTAGAATTGGACCTTTAAGTGCAAAAGGCCAGATCAGAGGTGGGCAACCTGCAGCCCATCGCTTCTCGCAGCTCCCATTAGCCAGGAATGGTGAACCGTGACCACTGGGAGCTGCGGGGGCCATGTCTGCGGACAGTCAATGTCAGCAAAATGTCTCTCAGTCCACAATCAGATTACCCTGATGGGCCGCAGGTTGCCCACCATTGGGCCAGACAGTCAAACATTCAGGAGCAATCTTGCAGTAAACAGTGTGTATGTGACTGAATCTGAGCCCATATGATGAGGGTTGTAGGAAAACCGCTTTTGGATCCAAAATGTAGGGTTTAAAAACAAACAAACAGGTAAATAGTATTATGAGCGAGGGAATAAAAATCTGATTCCAGATCCCTTGACAGTGTCATTTAAACACTGACTCACTCACTTTTAACCACCTGTTTGTGTCCCAACCGTAATGTTAAGTGATATTTTTAGCTACAATATTTTACTAACACATGTAACTTCTTTTTATATTGAAAACTCAAATAGTGACAGGGGAGGGATGTGAACAAGGAATCTGGAGTTGGTTTAAATGCTACGATGTTATTTTATGATCTATAGAAAGGCTTTGCCATTTACCTGTGAATTTACTACCTGCCCCCTTTCTTCCCCCCCCACCCTCCCCCAAAACGACTTCTCCAGGTAAGGGCCTGTACATTCCATGCCTGCATTAGAAGAAACTTGATAAACAGGGTGAGATCTGAGACCTGTCAGTGCAAATCTAGGAGCTCATCGACTGTAAGGGGAGGAGCAGCGAACCCCAGAGGTGAGAATCTGGGCACCAGAGCCTGCCCAGCAGCACCACAGTGTTGGGTGAGAGAGGGGAGGGGACACCCCCCCTCTCTACTCCCCCCTCCAGCCAATCCCCATTTTCCCTGCCTCTCCTCCTCAGGCTCAGGATGCTGCCCAATCAGGCTGTGCTCTTGCAAAGCTCCCTTCCTCTAAAGGGGAGGGGAGGAGGAGAGAGCTGGAGTCCTCACTAGGGGACCGCTCAGGGGCAGCGGCTCTGTGCCTCCCTCTCTGGGTTGCTGCTGCTGCTGACCTGAGAGCCTGCCGCTCAACTTTCCTCCCGCTGCTGCGGGCGCTTTGATTCGCCCATTTCCCTGCTCTGCTTGCGGTGGCTGAGGACTCTCGAGGCGGTTTCCAAGGTAATGTGACCTCTCCTCTCTCCCGTGTGTCTCTGGCTTTATTCACAGAAAGTGCCTTAGAGCAGGCAGGGCAGGTGGAGACTGGGAAGGCGTCTCCCAGGACAATCGTTACTCCTCGGAGCCCTCCTCCGAAACCACTGTTCACTACTGACCTCCTAGCATTCTCGGAAGTGTATTATTTACCAAACACAGAGAGAGCAGCTTTTACAATACACCGAGAGAGCAGCTCTTTACAATACACACACACACCCAGCAGCAACAGCTCTTTACAATACACACACACAGCAGCTCTTTACAATACACACACACACACACACACACCCAGCAGCAACAGCTCCTTACAATACACACCCAGCAGCTCTTTACAATACACACACACACCGAGGATCATTGTTATAGCCTAGCAAGGTGCGTTTGTTAATATAAAAAGAACAGGAGTACTTGTGGCACCTTAGAGACTAACAAATTTTGTTAATATATTTTAGTATAGAATGCACTGCATGTTGTCCTAGCCTAGCAAATTGTCCAGGGAATACGCTCGGCTCTATGGGGAAAAAATGTAAAAAGGGTGGAGATTTCTCCCCCCAAACCAAGAGCAGATTTAAATTTTATTAGAGAATATTTAAAAAATAAAACCGGTACAAACGATTTGAGGAGTCAGTTGTCAATCATTGGGGGGAACATACATAGTATGGGGGGGATGTTGTTATGTTGGGGTTGGCAGCACACATAATACATACGGACTGTAGTGTCCCCAATGGGGGTGGGTGGGCGGTGGGCGAGATCAAGACATAGTTGATAATCGGTAAGGGTCAAAATTACACCTAATTCTTTTAAAGTCACTTGATGGGCAAGAGGCGGGGGAGAGAGCAGGGATCTGATTTACAGTCCTGTTGGAGTGGAGACATGTGAAGGAATCCTAGAAATTAGAGATGAGAGAGATCTTTTAAAATCATCCAGTCATCCTCCAGAGGCCAGGACAAGACTGCTCCCTCCAGCGTTTTATACATTGTGTGTGATTCAAATGACAGGGCTTCCACAGCTTCCCTTGGAGACTCCTCACAGACCTAAGTTTTTCCATACCCAGCCTAAATTTCCCTGCCTCAATTTCATGCCATTACTTCCAGCTATATTCTTTTTGACCATTCCTCAACCTCTTGTACCCTTTTGATACCTGTATAGGATGATTGTTATTTACATGCAAACTAGCAACCCTTGAGATACCAAATGAGCTCTTATCTTACAATAATATAGAGAATGTTATCTTTTTTGTATAAACACCAGGGGTTTATTGTACAGTGTGGAGGGAAGGGTTAATGAGTCACTTATAAAGGATATGTGGAAGTTGCTCCCATCCACCTCCTTCTCAGCTGCTCTATGCAATTACTCATGTTTTTTGGGGGGAGGGAAGGTTTCCTTCGTGATTCCAGAGAAATGTATTTTAATGATTTCCTGTCAGTAGGATTGCTACTGATGTTACTACAGGATATTTTAAATACTTCAGGCATCAGGCAACTTAAACTTGAAAAAATTAGAAAAGCAGAATTTCCATGTGTGTCTATGTGTGTGTATACACAGAGAGAGACACATTGAAATTCTGCATTCCGAATTTTTTCAATTTTAAGTTGCTTGATGTCTGAAGCATTTGAAATTTCTCATATATATATGTGTGTGTGTGTATATGTCTGTCTGTCTGTCCACAGGGAAAAATCTTTACCTTGTCCATTCCACTGCCCCCCATGTCCTCATGTTAATGTTAGTTTCACACTAAAGTTGCATTTTCACATTGACTCTTTTCTGATTATTTTGCTTTTAATTTGTCCAAGGACCCTCCCTTTCTGGCTGCTTCCCCTTGTTTAATCTTGTTAGTAGAGCCTTATTTATACTAAGCCTGCTGTGGTTTTTTTTTTATTTGTTTTTTTCCAAAAGCTAGAATGTGACCATATGACTGATCAGGTAATACTTTGCACTTCCCCTTTTCCTAGCACCAGTCAGACTTTTGAATGGAAATTATCCCATGAAATAACTTTCATGAAACTAGTTTGAGGGCATTTTTATTAATGATGGTAAATGGTATTTGTTGAGGCAAAAAAATAGCAAATGCAGGCATTTTTTTGTCTCTTGATTCATCTATGAATCATTCCTAACTTCTGCTAATCATAGAATTATACAAATGTAGGGCTGGAAGGAGCCTTGAGGAGTCATCAAGTCTAGCCCCCTGCGCTGAGGCAGGACCAAGTAAATTTAGTGTAAATGTAGGCTTTGAATACATAATGGGGTGGGCAAATAATTTTCAAATTATAGGTTGTTTGCGAAATAATTCACTAATCATGGCATTTGGTTGGTTGTATGGTATTTCTTTCTTCTGCTCCCTAAAATGCACGTCTTCCAATACATATACACAGAACTTTTGAGCTTCACAAACACTTTTGTGAGTTCTAGAGCTTGTTCCAATATTCTCAAGTAATCAGTATTATGTCCCCAAGAATAGTAGCAAATCAAATTTGTGTAATTTGCAAATATGTTTGAGAATGTGCTTTTTCCTCCCATTATTCCACCAGTGCTAATATTTACTCTAAATTGAGATAAATGATGCTGGGTTATGCCATATACAGGGCATATAAAATGCCCCAAATTAGATTAGTTTCCAAGTGGCTGGGTTATTTCTACACTAGCAAATTTGCACAAGTGTGACCTTTATAGGTGGTAGTTTCCCTGGGCTATATTTAATAACCTGTCATAGCAACACTTCTGGCCTGTGCTGGTTACAGTGATTTCATTTATATCCATTTCTAAATAATATTAAAAGGTTTTCATGATATTCCCAGGGAGATCACAAATAAAAAGCAAACAGCAATAGTAAGTAGGTTGAACAGCACTGCAATCCCCACTAACAGGTCAGTCTCATTCAAGGTAGGGTGACCAGACAGAAGTATGGAAAATCGGGACGGGGTGGGGCGTAATAGGCACCTATATAAGACACAGCCCCAAATATCGGGATTGTCCCTATACAATTGGGACATCTGGTCACCCTAATTAAAGGTAGCATTGTGGCAGCCCTCAACATGGGGAACTACCTAGATACAGGAATGCAGCTGGCAAATGCACAGCTACAGTGATCACAGCTAGCTTTTAACTTTATTTTTCAGTTGATGAATGTTAGGGTACACAAAAGAAAACCTTGGTAATTAAGCTTAATGACAACAAAAGTTGGTCAAGTTTTCTCTTGAAATCAAGTGTGCCTGTACACCGCAACCTGATCTGCAGCACCATCAGTTGTTTGAGTCCTTGGTCTGTCCAGAGCTTTTGCCAATGTACCTCGGTCCTTATCCCCAGAACCTCCTGTTATTCCAGTGCTATGCTTCTCTAAAATACAGGGTGTTGTTAATACACAATTGAGTGGTGATTTGGATAAATGCCCCCATGGGCACTTAATAAAGGAGAATAAACTCATCTCATATGTGACCAAAACCCATGTCTGTGCTACTTGGTTGACTAACTTGTTAAGAGCTAATGGCTGATAATGTTCCCATGCGTGGGAAATACAGATTGTGGGTGAGTTAAATACAGACAGTGGGTGGGTTAAATACATTCTGTTTATATTCCTTGCTTTTCAGCTCTGAGGCTGTGTGAAATCTGGCTTCTACAAAGCATGAGAAATAATATGCATGCAATATTAATGCTGGGTATCTCAAAATGCTTTCACTTTCTAGGTTTGGATAGGAAATGGTATGCAGAAACTGGGTCATTAGGTTTAACTAGGGTGACCAGATGTCCCAATTTTATAGAGACAGTCCCAATTTTTGGGTCTTAGATATGCTCCTATTACCCCCTGTTCCAATTTTTCACATTTGCTGTCTGGTCACCCTAAGTTTAACAGAGATCAGCCTCTAGCAGTTTTTATCAATTTGATTTGTCAAAATTGATGTGTCAGTTCTGACAAACTGGCATTTTCAGACCACCCATTTTTAGAAAAAATTCCCAACCAGCTCTAGTGGTGGGACTTGTCACCTTAATCTTTAAAGTGCTTTGAGATAGAAGGTGCTATATAAATGCCAAGTTACTATTAATTATTCATGTATTGATTAAGAGTCTCTGAAAGTTGCTTTTATGATTTATTTGTTGTGTCATAAAAAGGGTCATAAAGTATTTGTGGCAAAAACAGATTTTGGCCTTTAATTTCTTTACACTGCACATCATATGACAGTCTGTCTCATGACTGTGCTTTGCTAACTACCCCATCTTCTCGTGGACAAGCTGACAAAAGGTTCAGTAGAGGACTGCAAGTTCCACAGGATGGGGAAAACCTTTTGATGGGCCCATTTAAGAGGATCTGTTAACTATACAGAGGCAGTGTACCCAGTGGGTATGTGTTCTGTCTTCAGGACTGCATATGTTGACCTATATGGGTGACCAAATAGATCAGCATCCTGGGAAACAGAGCTGGAAGCTTTTGTGTTTGCATTTTGCATTTTGGGGTTTAGCAAAAGAGATGGAATCTTCCTGGAAAAGTGTGAACATTAGGGGTGAAGTCATAGCCCCACTGAAGACAATGGGAGTTTTGCTATTGAACTCAGTAGGGCCAGGATTTCACTCCTAGTGTCCACTCTGAAGACTTATGCCTCTAGCTAGGGGCTGTAAAGTTCCCATTGATTTCAGTAGTTGAGGATCATGCCCTAGTAGTCTTTTTAAAATATATAAACAAAGTGAATTGAGTGACAGGCTCAGTTTAACAGCCCTGGGAGGGAACTCTCATATTATGTCAGATTGAAAGAGTTCAGTCTAGTAGTTAGATCTGGGGACTGGGCATCAGGATTCCTGAGTTCCTCACTCTGAGACTGTGTGACCTCTTGAGCAAGGCATTTATTTGTATTTTTTAATGATAAATTTATTGTTGCTCTCCCTGCTTTTTTCTGTAAAAATATATGAAGAGTAGAGGAAGAATAGGATGGAAGGTTAAAAAGAGATTGTGATAAGAGATGACATTATCACATGGATCC